AGAAACGGTTGACTGGCTACAGACTTGTTCAGTAGATACAGGTATTAGTGAACCTGCTTTAGCTAGTGGGAGCTCTATCAGGAAAGCTGCACTTGTAAACTCAAGTAGATCGGAATTGACCATTTGGGACGTCAGAGGTGCACGACTTGAGTATTCTCAGGATTACGAATCCCAGGATACTATTCAAGATTTGGACTGGACTTCAACGCCTGACGATCAATCGATTCTGGCTGTTGGTTTCCGTTACCGTGTTATATTATTGGCTCAAATGCGATATGATTATCTAAATAAAGGGCCAGCGTGGGCAGCAATCCGAGAAGTCAATATCCGAGATTTGACACCCCATCCGATTGGTGATTCAACTTGGTTAGGAGGTGGTAACTTCATCGTTGGTGCTGGTAACCAGTTATTTGTTTATGACAAAGAGGTTGACTCGTCAGCATCAACTTTTCTACCGCCTCGTAAAACTCCTTGGGACCTCTTCGATATCGTTTCAAGGTTGAACGGCCCACTGCCGGTTTATCATCCACAATTCCTGAGCCAGTACATCCTTGCCGGAAAGAATTTATTAGTTCAGCATATTCTATTGGCACTATATAAGATTCTTAAATATTATATTGAGGGTGAACCAATCGACTCCCACCTGGGGATGAACATAGAAGATTTCTACATCAGCTCGGAAAATGCACCTTCAGCTAGCAAAGGAATCAAGTCTACATTCGATGGCTTCTCCGAAGACGATGAGGTGGAAACAGTCACAGAGAGCGTTGCAGCTGCTATAACCGATAAATTGACACAGATTGCTCTACCTCAACTTTCGAGGCAGGAGCAAATTCACCTGGCTGATATCGTTCAATGCGTAGCTATAGTTGAGCGTCAACGTAGATCGATGGATGATAATGCCGCAAGATTTATGTTGTTCTTCAGACAACATGTTCTACGTCGTGGCCGTGCGAACGAACTTAGTCTTTCTTGGAGGGAGATCAATTGGGCATATCATAGTAACAGTCAGGATATTCTGGCCGATATGGTATCGCGACAATTCCATGGAAGAATGCTTTGGGAACATGCACGAGAGAGTGGTATCTTTATGTGGATGACGGATGCAAATGCTCTGGTATGTAAATATTCTATCTCCAAACTCAAGGAAGCTAACAAAAAACAGAAAGCTCAATTTGAAGTCATCGCTCGGAATGAATATACAAAGAGTGATCTCAAAAATCCCATAGATTGTAGTTTGTACTATCTTGCTCTCAAGAAAAAGGCGGTACTACAAGGTCTATGGCGTATGGCTGCGTGGAACCGTGAACAAGGTGCTACCACAAGACTTTTAGCAAATAATTTCTCGGAGAAGAAGTGGAGAACTGCTGCAATGAAGAATGCATATGCTTTACTTGGGAAGCGTCGATTTGGTAAGTAATGCATTGATTGTTCTTATTCAGTATTTCTAACCATAATCAGAATATGCTGCGGCTTTCTTCTTGTTGGCCGATTGCCTTAAAGATGCTGTCAACGTTATTCTGAGCCAACTCAAGGATCTTCAATTGGCTATAGCGGTTACCCGTGTGTACGAAGGAGAGCATGGGCCTGTTCTCAAAGATCTTCTCGAAGAAAAGGTTCTACCATTAGCTGCTCAAGAAGGCAACCGGTGGCTTGCATCATGGGCTTTCTGGATGTTACATCGTCGTGATATGGCTGTGCGCGCTTTAATTGTGAGAATCTCTCTTCTTTCTCAAACATTTCCTACAATACTAATGCCACTCTTCTAGTCTCCGGTCTACACACTCCTTGAAACCCCTCAATCACCAGATCTCAATGCCAAACTCTTCCTAACTGACGACCCCGCTCTCGTAGTTCTGTACTCACAGCTTCGACAAAAAACCCTACAAACCCTACGTGGTGCCTCAAAAGTAACACCAAAAGTCGAATGGGCTTTCGTGTTACATAATTCGAGGTTGTATGATCGGATGGGCTGTGATTTGTTAGCATTAGATTTGGTTAGGAATTGGGAGTTCCTTCTTCCAACTAAACCAGATTTCAAGAGTTTTAATGGTGAAATTAATCCGAGAAAGATGCTAAGGAGGAGAAGCTCCCTGGTAGTGGCAGATCTACCGGCTAGTGGAATTGGAATGGGTTCTGCGGCTGGGGATGAGAAAGACATGCCAAAAGGACAACAAACCCATAAGCCGCCGCCAACAGTCTTTGAGGAACCAGAGGCAAACAGTTTGTTGGATAGTTTTGGGTTTTAGGTGGTGAAAATTCAGGGGCAACGGTTGAGGGGGGCATTTTGCGAAAGGCGTTTTGTTTTTAGTTCTACCATGTATTACATACCCATACCATATGGGCGAGTTCTTGGGTTTGGATGGACAATTAGGAGCGCAAGGTTCATCGCGCATGCATAGCGTATGGGAGCAATATATGGTAATATGATTTGAGTATCTATATTTTAGCGTTGATCAATACTGTGATTTGATGCAGGACCTGGATTTGAGGGATATAATCTCGTTGATTTCGTGAGCTGATTGTGTAGTTTTCAATGGTTCGAAGGCTAGGTGTTCGTGTATTCTAGTGGATACGAAACCTTTATTCAACATGATTAAATTGCTAGTTCGTCATGGGGAAATGTACTTTACTTGTATTGAGATGTCCTGAGAGTTTTTAGTTACGGGGTACACTCCACTTTTTCTCCGGAGTTGTTCGGGGGAGTTGATTGATGAATCTGTATCTTCTTAAGGCGTAATATCAATGTTCAATAATACTCGATACTCTATACTCATTCCTTAAGTCATAAGTATTGTTCATAATTCTCAAAGTCGCGTGTACATTTATGATCCCATACTCTTCTGATTATATGACTGCAAGTATACATTATCACTCACTTCCCACGTGGAGTCTATAAATAATATTTATATATAGGAGTTTTGATACAACACATGGGCTTCTTGAGCAATATATGCTATTTATAGTCATTCGCAAGTCATTTTTAACCACGTTTTTGATGGTTTGGAGTCACTATATGGTGAATTTGAAGGAATTGTAGGCGTGAGAGTCATAGATTCCCCTTTCGCTCCATTATTATTGCATATTCACCCTTTTTGAAGTCTTTGGGGAGTTTTATGAGTGTGGAATAAATGAGTAATGTGTATGTATATTCTGACTTGTAGGTTTCTTTTCCTCTTCTTTTCGAGTGATTCTTACAGTCATATGAAGTCAAGACTTATAAATAATGTGTTTTTAATTCATTGTATGTGTGAGTATGCCCTTTTATTCTATGTTCGAGTCATTGATGTTATCTGCTTACAGTCCCCAAATGGATACAAAAGCGCTGGGCTCGTCTCTTTTGGAAAAGAGTTCTGTTTAGTTGTATCCGTCCGTTTCTACCTCGAAGATAAACAGTATCAAACGTATCATTCTAATGTTGAAAACTTTCCAAGCCGAGCATCTTGTATACATTCCGTCACACACATCAAACCTTGCGACGTTGCTGCCAATTATTTTCTGTGTAAACTTATTCGAAACTCCCTTCTCCTCTCTATATATTCTCCAGATTCAAAGCCATGGAACATCGTCTTGCTGGTGGTCCCCAAGATCACTCAAACTACAACACCACTATTACATCCACCAGAATGAGCATGGATATGCTAACATCCGGCTATACTCCCGGTACCGAGCCAATAGCACCACCCCCAAACGCAACAGACGATCCTTATCATTGTGCAGGATGCGGTGCCTCGACCAGCGGAGCCCGACGTTGGAAGGAAACGCATTTACATTCTCATAATGAGTGTAAACGGGCTTACCAGAAAAACACTTGTCGATTCCCAAAGTATGTTACAAATGAGGTACATTAAGTCTATGTAGCTGATGAGAATAGAATTCCGGCGCCATTACCGGCAGCGGATCCAAACGGCGACAATATTGCCTTTGATGATTATGGCGATTATGATGCGTATGCTGATAACGCCCTTTCTGCTGCTGTCTCCTACGATACGCAACAGTCCTTATACCCACAAGCGATTAGTAGCGCACCTCAAGCTGAAAGTTACTCCCCAGAAATAACTACTGGTACCACTCAGGGTGATCAGTACTCCTCGACAACTGGTGGTGCGCCTCAAAACGAACAATACTTTCCGGTAAGCAGTAGTGCATCTCAAGGTCGGGGTCATACAACTACCTCTCAGTATAGAGGTGGTACCGGTGGTAGTCGTGGTTATCGCGGCGCTGGTAATAACCGAAGAGATTGAAGTGATTGTGGTAATGAAGGATAGATTAGCGAGCGTGATGGGGTTCTTGGTTGGTGAAGAAGATAGAGTGAAAGACACCGAATTTCTTTTAATAGTATAATGGCAAGAATAAACTATCATCATCATTTTTCGCATGAAGTCTCTAAATAAAATGGTAAATGTGATTTCAAGTGATATGTATTATTTGATAGTCATTTCGTTTCTATTCTTGAGTTACTCTAGAATGAATCCGAAAAGTATGCAATGATTGATTATATCGTTGGAATTATTTAACAATCATTTGTAATCAGATCTCGCGGAAAATACTCATTCAAACTGTATTTTCATCATACTCATTCTATTTTAACTTTTCGAGAATTTCTTCACTAGTCACACAGTATAAAAACTTGTGAATAATATGTCTTTTTTTTTCATATCGAGTCACCCAAATTCTCATTTCCGTCTTTCAAATGTTTACAAAAGGACTGCATCTCCTCCTTCTGAAATCGATTTCTGTAGTTTTACATCTGCTTCTACATTTACATCTAAACCATGCGCCTAAACAATTACATATCTGTGCACTTAAATTGAGAGGACATCTATCAAATTGTCAACAACCTATTCCAACATAAAAATCATACAACGCATAGCACTTCGAGTACCTTGTACGAATATCCATTCGCATATATCGATTCCAGTACACCGTTGGCAGTCATTCTTGATTTCTGGCACAATACGAAAAACTCCTGCATTCTTAGCATCCTGAAATCAAAAGATATGTCAGACCCTAGTAGTCATTACAGAAGTGAAGGTGATCCTTTCGATCATCAGGCCTACGGTGCTACTGTTATATCCGCAGGCGTAGGCATGGGAATGCTAAGGTCCGGAATTACAGCAGGAAACGAGCCAGTACCGCGAGTTCCAAAATCATTATATGATAAAATACACTGTGGAGCTTGTAATGAATCAACGGAACGCTCTGATAGACATTGGAAAGAAGAGCACATTCATGACAATATTGAGTGTAGAAGGGCCTACTTCGAAGGGACATGCACATATGAGAGAGACACATTTGCAACACGGCCGGATCCTATTTATAGACCTGAAGGATATGTACCTCCCACACAAATTCCACAACTTCAATATTCAAACCCTCAACTTCAGATACAACAAACTCGGGCTTATTCATCAAACTCTCCAGTCACTCAATCTGAAACTCAATCAGCTCAAGCTTATTTTATTTCACACTCATCTCAAACCCCCCAGGAAGAGGATCATTCGGATCAAAGACTTTCCCCTAACGCTTATCAAACTACTCATCCATCGGAGTGGCTACATTCAGATCAACGCCTCTCCCCTAACGCTTATCAAATCAACTACTCATCAACATGGCTAAATTCACCGAATCATCCTAGCCAGCCAGATCAGGGGTATGCCCAGCATCAAACCGAGGTGCATGACGATCCTTACACTGATGATGCATCTCACAACTCCAGTCCCGCTTACGATTCAGAAGCGCAACGTGCTCCCGCGGCAAATTTTGCCGGATCCCAAGGACGGGAATATACAACTACAACTCGGAATATTGATAGCGGCCGCCGTGTTCATCGCCGCACTAGTGATAGCTGAAGGAGCGAAAATGCTTATGATAGCGAAAGGAATATTCGCAAATGTAATAGGGACTGTGTTTAGTCTAGAGGATGGATGGGATAGGTTAAAAGCTTGCCTGATTTTACAATCATAATAATAATACTACGATAATGACTTTTCATATAAATTCTATGAAAAACATTCATGTGTCGATTATTTCTAGTATTGTAAATATTTTCGTCAAGTGATGTTTGTGAAGTCATTCAAAATCATTTCGTGATCACTTGTGAAGAAAAACATATTTTGGATTAGGAATCATCTAACCTCAATATTCGAGAGTCTCTGTGCTATCTGAAAGAACTAGTAAAATTAAAATGAATAGTATTTTTGAGCTCATTTGACAGTCACATATAATCCTACCCCGAGAACGATACTCATGTTAACCTCATTTTTGTTATAGTCATCACATCATACTCATTGTATTTTCACTCCAAGCAGCTCTATCGAGTCATAAAGTATGAAAACCCATGAGTAATGTATATTTATGACATTTGTCTATGAATATGTCTTTTTCTTCTCTTTTCGAGTCATATTGGCATATGAATATACTCTTTTCACTCTTTTCGAATCATCTTCGAAGCACATTTTCAACACCTTTCTAGCTCCCAAATGTGCTTATAAGCGCTGGGGTTTCCCCTTCTAGTAGTACTTTCTGTAGACTTACATCCACATCAATTCTTGCTTCTACTTTTATATTTACGTTTGCATCGGCATCAAAAAGTATTATTTGCAACGAAAAACCACAGAAAAGACTCCTACATCAAGCTCTTGTATTCTACAAGTTGGAAGCTATGTCAAGACGTACACATTCAAAAGACGAGGATAGACATCGTGGCAGAGATGAGGCATCTCACCGCCGCCACCACCACCACCATGGTTCCAGAAGGCCTTCTCATCGAGAGGCCCCACAAGGCTCACCTTCCACGACACAAGCTCGTGGTGGTGATGAAAGGTCTCAGGGTAGGTCACCGCGAGGAGAAGCCTCACAGAACTCAGGATTCGCAACACAACCCTATGATGCTGGCGGAGAGAATCGTGCAGAGACTCCAGAATCGGTATCGCTAAGTCGGCCATTTGGACAGCCATTTGGACCTACAGCTGGCATGGCGGACATGAACATTCTGAATTCTACATTTACGCCTATAGTTGCTCCAACAAGAGATACATCATTATCAACTGTACCACCAGCGCGTCCCAACTCCATGAGAGATAAAGAACATTGTGGAAACTGTGATAATTATGCGGAGATTCCTGTGCAAACGTGGAAATATTATCATTTGGAAGAAAACGAAAAATGCCGCACAGCCTATCGAGACGGAACCTGTCATAATGAGAGGAGCGATTTTCAAATCGAAGCAGAGAGACTCTCTGACCAAGCTTTTGGGGAGTCAATTACACCCGGCGCCCTAAAGGATTCAATGAAGCCAGCCCAAACCCATGCTCCTCAAACGACTAGTGCCAGTGCCTGGAGCCAGGGCGCGTCCCAGCCTTCAATATATCCGCAGATTGATAACCCGACTTATTCCAATCTCCAAAGCAATAATCCCTCCACCTTATATAATCCGTCAGCTAGCTACCCTGCTACCGGCCAGACTAGCAATACTGGCTACGGCCCTTCTCACAATACTCTCCAACCAGCCTCTTACCACTCCGGTAATAGTCGCTATATGGCTCCTAGCTATATGCTCCCTCCTCCGGTCCCCTATTATTCCAGCTATCCCGCTCCTCGCATCCCTACTGGCTTGAGCCCTCCCGGCTGTACTCCCGCTACCGGCTATCCTCCCCCTCAGATCCATTACACCTCTTCCAACATCCCCTACACCTACAACACCCAACAACAAGCTCCATACCAACCTGCAACCAGTAACCCACCTCAAGGCGAACAACACGCCCCGACAGTTAGCAGCGCACAGCAGAGCGGCAGTCATCGAGGTAGCGGTGGTCATATTCATAGTCATGGTCATGGTCAAAGAAGTGGTCATAGAAGTAGTAGTAGTCGTACTCCTCGTTCTAAGGAATAAGATGGATATTTGTACATCGCTCGGGGGTTCTTACATTTCTTTCCATTTCTTACATTTAGTACATTTCATTTAATACATTTCATTTAATACATTTCATTTAATACATTTCATTTAATACATTTCATTTAATACATTTCATTTAATACATTTCATTTAATACATTTCATTTAATACATTTCACTTAATTCCTTTATCTCAAGATTTCAAATATTCAACACTTCAATAGATTAGATTAGATTAGACTAGATAATAATAACAACACACCTGCCTGACTTTACCCACCTACTTTACCATTCCCAGTATCTATGAATATCAAAACATCGACGGTGAATTATACTCATGCCACTACACCTGAAATCTTACTACTTTTAAGTTCTCACGCTACTTGAATTCCAGTCTGTAATATTTAGATTCTATACATTCATTCTATCACAGATTCCCTCCATTAGAAAATCCAAGTTATATAAAAATCACCCCTTGTATTTTTAGCACCCGTAGAATAATCTACCCTAAACCAGTCCACAAGATGCGAGAAATAAATTGCTTTCCTATGAACTAAGTAGATCGAAGGATCTGAGAAGTTAGAGAGAGAGCACAAGAGGAATAATAACAAAAATGAGTTCGAAGTTAGATAATGAGATCTTTTCGACGGTAAACTAGATACTCTCTCGTACTACCTCAAGTCCAAAATGTTATTCTCATACTGTGAAAATTGATGTCTGTTTACTCTCATGTCACTTAGATTATATCTTCCAACTCGGAATTCTAGCTTCTAATCATACCTAGGTTCTATGTTTCCGAACCTAGAATCTAGCTATCACATAATCCAAGTGACGTGAGAGTAATTTACCATATTCTTAATCAGTAAAATAAAAGAATGAGAGAATAGAAGAAGAACGTTAAAATCGTAATATAATACATACAAGATTATATGAAATAATATATACGCACTCGTCGTATACCCTACCCCCTTCCTGTTCTCTCATCTCATCTCAGTTCATCCCATCTGTCCCTGAGTAATAAATTAATCTCTTCCCATCCTCTCTCTCTCTACAGTTAAATCGTATAATATTAATTCCCCTCAAATCAAACAATTCTTCACCATCCCCTTCATCGCTTATTTCACATAATCCCCATCTCATCCCCATAATGATATCTATCCTCATCCCCCATCACCCCCCTCGCTTAACAACTCGCTTCACTCACTTCACCCACTACCTTATAAACAAAAACACCACACTATCTACCCACTCACTCAATCTAAAACCAAACAACATATTCCACTCTATATTTATACATCTATAGATAAATAGATAAATAGATAAATAATTACCCAACACCCAATCAATCAAATGACCACTCAACACCAACCAATCAATCAATCAATCCATCCATCCATTCATCTACCACCCTATCTCCCTACCCTCCACCCTCCATCCCAAAACTAGAAAAAACAATAAATACACAATCTATCCATTCCCTACCAATACACTCATACACTAATACACTAATTCACTAAACTATACATAACCTTAATAAACCTCTTCCTCCTGTTTAATTAATAAATAATAGTACTAGTGAAAGTAATAGTAATAGTAAAAGAAATAAAAATAGAAATAGTAATAGCAAAATTAATCATATTCTCCCCCTCCCCCCTTTTTCCAAACACATGAATTTGATAAATACTAATCCCCACCCTCACATTTACCCTCACATTCACCCTTAAAATTCTCAAATAAAAAATCACAAACCATCACATCAAACCCCCAATTCCAATCTACAAAAGAACATCCCTCCCACACAAAACACAAATCATAAATCACAAAACATAGAGTGAAGTATTCATATATCATTTATCATCTATCAATCATCAAACTATCCATCTAAGAACCTGTTTGATCCGAACTAATCTTCATCTTCATCTTCATCGTATATATATTACTCTGTCCCCTTACTAATCCCTCCGTCCCTTCGTTCAGTCATTCATCAATATATGCTCTAGCCAGATATATATTGTATCATATGACTGTGTACCAGCGCAATATCATGCAGATAGACACTCGGGACACTCAATGCTCGTTCCTGATGCAAATGCATCATCTCGCCAATCAAACTCCGCGCCCAAGGTATCAAGACAAAGGAAAAGAATCGTAAATAAAGCCACCGCATATGAAAAAAATAAAATGAAAATGAAAAGAAGATGATGAGAAAAAAGAATTTCATCATCAGTAGAATTCCCCAAAATGTGAATGAAGATAACAAAAAATCCAGAAAAGCCAAGTCAATAAACAGCAATTAAGCAATCAATTGTGGCGTATCTTTTCCCTCTGGCTTTGCACTTCCCTCTTCAATCACAACCTGCCTTTCATCATGTCCTGTTTCCGGATGAACCTCTCCCTCTCCCTCTCCCTCATTGTCTCTCTCAATCCCCTGTTGTCTCCTAATTTTATCTTCCTCCAATTCTGCCGCGACTCCTTTCCTAGGTCTTTCCGCTTTCTCCAATTCCTTCCTCTGTCTTTTGAACACCGCCTTAACACCCCCTCTATCACCTTTCTTCTTCGCCTGTACCGCTCTCTCCGCAGCTCCGACCCCCTCAAACGCTCCATTTGAACGCCACGTCCTACGTTCTCGCATGACCTTCAGTTTCCCCTTCAATCCCATTCCCCCGTCTCGTTTTTTCTCATCCATCAATTTCCATACTTCTTGTATGACATTCCATCCATGCGTAACTCTCTCTTCAACCTCCTTTCTCTCTTTTGACTTTCCGTCGAGTACGTTTATGTCTCGCTGCCCCTGAAGAATTCTCGCTCTTCGGATAAACGCAGTAGGTTGTTTGTTCTTTACCATTTCTTTATGGACACCTTTTAATGTGTATCCAAAAGGCCCAACGATGGCGCTAATATCCTTCAATACGAAACCCGTTAGACCCATTCCTACACCCTTTACAAAACCCAATGCGCCGTGATCCCGAGCTCCGGTGTATGGCTGTACTACTAATCCAGTAACTCCATCATAAATGCCAAAGATGAATTCTTCACCGGCAGCCTTTAATCCACTCTTCATACCCGTGATTCTTGTTGGTCTTCTTACGGTCGTGTCTCCATATAAACGAGGAGCATTATGGAAACCTTGAGCGAGAGCAAGTGCTAAATCCATGGGTGCACGAGCTACTGCTTCCGCTGTTTCACCAAAGCCATGCCCGATATCTTTAGCTACTGCTTCGGCTTCGTTATGTATTGAGTCGGAGGAGAGCATGGATTGATTATCGATGTCATTTTCGGGCTGTGAATTTTGTTGTTGTTCTTCTCGATTAGCCTGACTGTATTGGCGAGTCGGTTCACCGCTTGTAGTATGATTTGCCATACCGGCATCACATGGAGAATTCACGGCGGCCTCAGGGCTGGTATCGTGCGTTTCTGTCGCTGAATTCAAATCTTCGGTCTCTTTAGATGGAGTAGTACTTTCATCTTGATGACTCTCTTCTTGCATCGTTTGATTGTTGAGTGTAGAACTATTCGATATATCGACGTTCTCTTGAGAATCAGGTTTCTTTTCAACAAGAGTGGTTCCACTTCCACTTTTCCGTGCATCTTCCGATTTTCTCTTCTTCCTATCTTCATGCATACTTCTTCTCTTGATAGTCTTTCTAACCTTAAAAGGTATACTGCCTACACCAGCGGCAATGCCTGTAACAGTACCTGTAACAGCTGTTGTAACACCGCTAATAGGTTCACCTGGTCCTTCGAAATCATTCCATTCATGATGTCTAATGAGTCTCAACTGTTTCCAGGTGATTTTCTTCCTCTCCACTAACAACTCAGCAGCTAATGCGCTCATTCGCAAATTCGTCCCTTTCATGGTCCAAACCGCCACTCGATCTTCCAGAATCGAACACCGCATGGAATGTTCGCCTCGGAGCGTAAGACTTCGATGGAATGACTTTACTGCATTCTGTGCACCATCACCTTCAGCTTCAATATCCTTCGCGATCTTCTCTACGGCTTCTCTAGCTTCGTCCGTCAGACACTGCTTGATACCTTCTGCTAATTTATCAGCTGTCAATTCCTTGTAGGGAACAGGATCTGCTCCAGCCCCTGAAGTACCAATCATAGACCCCCAGAACTGCTGATCTCCGAAGAATGGAACAATCATAGTCGGCTTTCCACATTTAAGGCCTATTGCAGTCGTTCCAGCACCGCCATGATGCACTACCGCCTTTACTTTAGGGAAAAGCCAATCATGCGGTGTATTTTCGAGCATGAATACATTCTCTGGAGTACTTTCACCACCAAGGCCACCCCATCCTTTTGAAACCAACGCTCTTACTCCAGCTTTCTTCACAGCTTCAAAGATCATCTCAGTAAATCTGTCAGGATCATCAACAACAATAGAACCAAACCCAATATAAATTGGTGGTTCTCCATCATCGAGAAATTTGACAAGATCGTCCGGTGGTGTGAATGTATCTGCTAGATCTAGGAAAACGAAACCGGCAATATCAATTTCTGGTCCCCAATCTTTGGGTTTGGGCACGAGTCCCGGTGACCACAAGTATGTATATGGAACTTTGAGACGGTAAAGTTGGCCTGGAGCCCATAATGTTGATACCGGTTCTAGACCTAAAGTCTTAACTCTGAAATTGTTGACGAGATCACCTAATCCTTGCCAAGTCATCATTTCCACTAACGGATAGGACATGAAATTCGTATAACCTGGATCGACATTCGTTTTCTTAATATTGGCCAAAGGATGTGGAAATGCTTGCGTTGGAGTATATGGAAATGTGAACATGAGATGCAGAGGAACGCCGAGACGTTCTGCGCAATGAATGTGTGCAAAACATGGAGGGTTTGCGATAATAGCATCTGCGACGAATGGCGCCTTATTTCCCATCATTTTGAGATTTGTAACATCCTTTTCCTCGTCTGTTGCATTAATACAAGCTCGCCAGAAACCTTCAAACATTTCAGCCATTTGCTCCCTTCGTCTTCCAACTTCTC